AGCAAGGCCATCTGCACAAGCCATTAGCATGACTCCTGTGTAGCTGCTAAATCATACAACTGAGATGTGTTTCTGATTATTTAGCAAACTGTCCTCCAGGATTCATGAATTTCAAAAAGCCAACATAGATATGCCTCATCTGTTTTGATCTCAGTCCCCATCCCTTGGAAGAATAACTGGGATAAATATTCCACAGATTGATTTATTCCTCAGGACTTATCCCAAGGGATGTGAAAGTTTTCATTAATAGGCTTTTGTTTCCTACAATAAAACTAGTTTCTATAATTCATTTTATTAAGCTCTTCTTTTCCCCAGACCAAAAGAAAAATCATCTGTTTTCTCAAGCAAAGTGAAATCAAGAAACCAAGGTAAAATGCTAAATCTAGAAATGGCAAAGCAAATCCACTGCCCACTCAGACTGTTCTGTTTCCTCCACCCTCAGGACACTCAATTTGTAACTTTGGCAAGCTCACTTGCAGATTTTTCATAATAAGAAGAGTTTCCTTTAGAATGTGGTGAGTGTGGGAGTCTCAGGGGAGGGGCAGCTCTGCCTGGCTTCAGTTCTCTTTGTCAGTAGAAAGTTTCTTTTGTCCTCAAATGGTTGCAGAGAGCAGGCCCACAGTTTGAGACAACTCCTGGCATTTCTGAGGCTTCAGATTCAACCTGAGAACCTGGCAAGACCCACTGAGGAATGCATCAGCTGCACAAAGGTGGTACCATGCACCAGGCAGGGTAACAGCCTCCACATGGCTCTCAAACACAGCAACTGCATTTTGCAAAGCCTGATGCCAGTGTTCTGTACTGCTGTAGTGGTTTGGACCCAGTATTCTTCCCTCTCCCCTGGATTCCCTTCCACTGACTGATATTAGATTCAAGATCCAGTATCAGAAATCAATGCTGCGGGAATGCTACTATAATATCTGAGTATTGAGAAAATAAGAACCTTAAAAACCAATTCATGTTTTTTTTCATACTGACAAAACCAAGACCGGAGATTCAGTTACGGTTCTTATGCATTCCTGTAGTGGTTGGAACAACCTCTTTCTTCCTCACTGCTGGGCAGGAGTTTGTGCAATGCTCAGGGTCACACTCTATCAATATTGCATGGATCAATGGTGAAAAGAAGGAAAACTCTTTGTTGGTTCAGCAGAGCCACTCTTAGTTCCCAGCATAATTGCCTCTGAGACTCCCTATGTGTTTGTGCAGAACTGTCATGGAATAAATGCAACAGACACTGTTCAAACTCATTTTCATCCTCTTTTCCCTGCTGTTTTTTTGTTCCATATGACTATATCCACTAGAACCACTTGTTCACTTTTTCATCCATAGCTGGCCATTTTATTATTTATTCTTAGCCAACAATATTCAACGCAGGAACAGGAACCTGCTTCAGATCCACCACAAAGTCTCCATCAATCCATTCATTCTCCATGGGCCTTTATAAAGTTATCACAGCCTGTAGCTGCATCAGCTTAAAGGCAAGATAAGTCATTCACTGGAAAGCAGCTTCCTACAAATGATTTATTACACTAGTGTCGTTTTTGAACAGAATGGCCCAGGCTGCATTTATTTTGCCATGATTACAGGAAACATGTCAAGGTACTCACATTTTTAAAGGCTTAGAACATCTGACAGAAAAGTGCTCTGGGTTTGACACCACGGAATCAAGAATGCACCAAAAAGAGAGAAATTTCACTTCTGTAACAGTCCAGTATTTAAACTGAAGAGACTGTGCACACATATTTCTTTGTGTCTTGACCTGAGTCTGCAGTTTTGAGGTAAAGAGAAATACAAACCAATAGCTTTATTTTATTTTTTCTGAAACTACAGTGCTGTTGGGAGGATGGCTCAGTCTTAGCAAATCTGCAATTTTGACAGTTATGTCGAATCTGCAATTTTTCATTCTTTGTCATTGAACTTATCCTACTACGCAGCCTAAAGACAAACTTCAATATTCTTCTTCATCTAGAGAACAAAGCTGAGCTGCAAGCAATTCCCTGCTGGCCCCAAATTTTCTACTGGCTTTCATTAAATGTTTGTGATTTTCTTTCTGTCCTGCCATAATTGTTGCAGTCCTCTTCTATTCAATATTTTATTTTATATGCTAGCTTTTAGCCAGTCTGTTCTCTTTACTTTTGTATTTTTATATATTCAATAATGCATACAGGCATAATTATACATGCAGTATAATTATATTTTGGTTGATTACACATGCCACCTTCTTTTCTAATTATCACAGACACCAGACTGTAATTCCTTGTTTCAGTCAGGCCTGTGAGACACAGAGCAGCATTTAGAGACACAAAGTTCTCAGCTTCCATCATTCTTGACAGCAGCTGCTTGACATCTGATGAGAGAAGCTGAGACACAGGAATGTCCTGCAATTTGTCCAAAGGGTGACAGGGGTGGAAACAGAATCAGCATCTCCTGGTTCTTAGTCCAGTTTCCCAGCCCCAAGGGTACAGTGGTAAGCAGGTTTTTGTAAGCCTACAATAAATAAACCCCTAGAGTGAAATCCTTAATGTAATTTTAATAACTGAATACAGTGATTGATAAATTATTAAAGAGTTAAATAGCAGTTATTTTTTTATCTCATCATCAGGTTAATAACCTATTGCTTAGTTTGATAATTTGAAATATGTGTAGTGAATCTAGATACGGAAAAAGTGTCTGAAAAGGAAATACAGTGAAGCATTGCTAAAACAATATATTTCTTTAAGACTTCCAAATCCCCATATTCTGTTTCAATAGTAGACCTGGGAGAAGGAACAGGATAAAAGAAAATAATGGAAATAAATCAGCATTATTAACCACCTCTGTAGAGAGTGAAAAAATTGGAGCTGGCCAGAGGTATCTTTTGAACTCAGCATGGGCTTTATTTCTCTCCTTTTTCCACTGTCCTCCCTACATGCATCCTGCCTTTGTGCCAGTTCAAGTGGTTCTCAAAATAAATTTTAAAATTGGTGTTTTCTTGCTTCATGTTGAGAGAATTCTTATTTTCCTTTTAAATTGAGCAGTGCAGCAAATGTCTTCTTTTTCAGCATTTTACAAACAAAGGAAATATAGAATTCCAGGAAGGAAGCACTTACGTGTCTTAGACCAATGCAATGATTCCTCAGATTTCTATAGAGCCAAAGTTTTTCTCACTCCACTGTTTAGCAGTTTGCAAGGTTTGCCACCCACACTTTGCAACATGAGTTTCCAAGCACTGCAGTCTTTTCCCTCAATGCCCAAAGCCATCAGTCTTGTACCAATAGCTCAGATCCCAAGATGTTTCAAGTCTCAAGCTGAACTCTCTTGCTCCTTGGTAGTCTCCTGGATCATTTTGGAGATCTTGTTAAAAAAAAACCCCAAACCAACAAGCAAACAAAAAACACCCCAAAGCAACAAACAACCAACATCATCACATCTGCTGTCTTCCATGGTGCCAAGACAGTTTGAAGAGCTATGCTCTCCATTCAGCTGTACAAAAATTATAATTTTCTTAAAGTCCTTAGGGTGAAAATCCATTGTCTTAATGCTTCGTCAACATTAATTTAAGGAACTGGTTCTAAAACTATTTCATTGATGTTTTAACTGGAGATGATGGACATATTTCTCATAAGGAAAGGAATCTTCCTCAGCTCACATTGGTGAAGATAATTCATTGGCTTTTCAGCTAGGGACTCATATTTTCTGTGGTATCCTCTAATAATTCACTCATACACTGACCTATAGACTCAACAATATCCATTGAATTTCTGGTGCACTTAAAAAACTTCACCAAAAATGCTTTTGGCAATTTGTTCCTCTAAATTGTTGTCTTCATTCTGTCTTACAGCTTTTCATTTAATGTGTCTGCCCTTTTACATAGCGTTCCCATGTTGTTTTTTTTTTTCTTTCATAGCCTCCCCTATTCATCTGTTTAATTACAGTATTTTCATATCCCAACACATTCTCTTCTGAGTGTTCAGTATGGTGTCTCCATATTGTTTACGCCACCTGGAAGTATTTAAGGCTTTGAAATTGACCCTTTAAATTTGATTTTTGCATGCTTTTCCACTGACTATTTTCTAGGTATTCTATATTACTTGCAAAGTTGTGGCTTTTTTTGGAGTATAGCATACATATCTTTTATAATTGCTGTACCAAAGCGCTCTTCCATAATGTCTCTGGTGCCAAGACTTGGTGACTTTTTGAGTAATATTATTTCCCATTTTGAGAAAAGAAACAGATAAAAAAAATCTTTCAAAACAGTAGCTGTTCGTGTTAAAAAAAAAGTTCCTACCACATAACTTCTCCTTGAGTCCTTATATCTTTCCTGAAACATATTTACACAGTGTTTGGAGGAAAATACTGAATATTACATGAATCAGAGTAAAATCACAGAGATTGCTGTTGAGCAGAAATGCCAAGAAGCCCTTTGATAACATGGTTGGTGGGGACTGCAGGTGCTTCTAGGGCTGTTGCTCTTCTCCTGAAAATTTTGTCAAAAGATAACTTTGCAGTCTTTAAGCATAAGGTTTTGTTGCTGATGTTCCTTGACACCACTCATGAGGCTTTGATAACCTGAAATAATAACAAGAGGAATACTGAAAATACTTTCATCTCCTGGTTATTTTTCTCTTTTAACTGATGAAGGTTACTGATAATTTTGTAGGACAACAGAGGGGAGCAGCTGTTGTGTGCCCAGTCAGCAGCCTCCAGCTAGCTGGAGGTTTTACCAAGTTACAGTCGGAGCAGAGGTGCTAAACCAGCACTCTCCTCTGCTGGCTCTTTATGGCAGGCTTTAAGGGCAGCAGGATTTGTCCAAGACCTAATTGCACATATTTAGGAAGAAGTAATCATCAGTGTTTAGAAGCAATGGCAGCTATAAAGCTCAAGCAGTTAATGCAGGTGAAATGATGCAGGAATGTTTTACACCCAGGAGGATGTGGCTATCCACAGGGCAGGCAGCAGCTGTCCTTCCCATACAGCTACCTGCACATGACAGCTCTATCCATGTTTTTAACCTCTGGCAGATTAAGAAGACAGCAGGATCAAAGTGGACAGACTTCCAGCATTGACAGCAGAGCCTCTCTTCAGAGCCACGAGAAGCTCCAGGACGGGCGGAACAACAATTTGCTGGGACACGGCTGCACCAGGGGCTGCAGCAGTTAGGGAGCCCAGCCCTGCTCCTGCACAGGCAGGGGAGGGGGCTCCTCCCTGCACCCCTCCCTCTGCACCCCTGCATCCCTCCTGGCCCCTCCAGGATCCATGGCCAAGGACAAACCCACACAGCACACTGGCTGAGATTTTCCACGTACAACTCTGCCCTCCTCTTGACTCCGCCACTGGAAAAATGACCATCAGCAGCAAAATGCAGTTTTTTAAGTAAGCGTGACTTTTGTTTTCAAAATCCTGGAAGAAAACTTGAAACCATTCTTTAGGCAGCCTCTCAAAGATTGCCACATTCCTGGATATTTGCAAGAGACAACTGGGGCCAGCTTTATCTTGAAGGCTTTAATATTACCCCCAGTCTTTCTGCTAATTAAAATGGTCCCGTTTGGAATTTTGTGAAACTGCTGGACACAGCTGTCTCTAAGCATCTGCTGTTGAGTTTATAACAGATGTACATGATGTAAATACATTAATGTAGTGTCAAATAAGCCAAACACTGACTAATTTCATTTAAATACCTGAAACTCATTGAAAAAGTTGCAGTGTAAGTGTATTCACATTGTTCTTTAATATCATGTGTTCTGCTTTGTAGTAAAAGGTGTGACCCTGGCCAAGTCAAAGTTTTGCTAGTGACTTTAGTGGATGCAGGATCAGAAACACCTTTTTATTTGTAACAATGGGCTGACTGAGCCAGAGTTGAAAAGCAGCTTAGTAAGGAGAGCTAAAAACATTAAGAATTTGCTCAGACCAAAGTTTTGCTAGTGATTTTAGTGGATGCAGGATCCACTAAAAACGCCTTTTTATTTGTAACAATGGGCTGACTGAGCCAGAGTTGAAAAGCAGCTTAGTAAGGAGAGCTAAAAACATTAAGAATTTGCTCAGATCCATAGCTAGGTGTTATAAAATGTTAAAAAGTTACATGTGTCTCTATTTTCATGCATCTATTCTGGATGAAACTATCTTGAATAGAAAGAAACCTACTTTGGTCAAAATATTGCTGACACAAAATCCTTTTATTTTAAACAGCAGCCAAAATTCCAAACATTTATGACAGTTTAGAACTTGTACATGCACATTTTCATAATAAATGCATGTTTATTCTGTCTATTTGTGCTTTGGTTTTGAAGGGTTACCACCTGTAAGCAAATTTATTTTCAACTTTTTAAATCAAATAGGTTAGGTTTTTGGAAGTGGAAAACATTTCATTTGAAATAATCTATTTTTATGACATCATTTCCATTCTTTTACAAAACAAAGTTCTTTGTAATTGAAACTATTGTAAATTTTGTTTCATGTTATATGTAATTTTGGTCACAAATTTTTCGCAAATACAGATTTTTATCACTCCATGAAATGATATGGTGTTCTGTATTATCAACAACAAACAGTTTACAAATGTACAAAGGTAAAGATTTTCTGTCTGTCACGAGCATGGTGTTGGTCTTCTTGCTTAATTTGGTCATAAACTGAAATAATCATATGATCAAGCAAAGGAGCAAAATTTTTCTGGTCATAAGAGGATAGATTTCATTGCCCAGAATAAACTATTTCCCATCCATCCTCTTTTTTTTTTTTTTACTTGATATTTGTTTCTCTTGGGAACAACCAAACTAGATAAGATTTCAGATTATTTCTGGAAACACCTATTGCTTTGTTCCAATCAAAATTCATGGTGATCTTGGACCTTGAGCTGAAAGAAAATATTTATTTTGAGGAAGAAGAGCCACTCTGGCTGATTTTGTACATCAACCACATATAATGCCACAGTGCTAGAACCTTAACTGAGGCTGGGAAGGCATTTTTGAAATAAATGTCCTAATCTTACAGCCATACTGCATTTTGGTACATATTTTAGCACCCAAATCAGATGCTTTTCGAATGATACAACACCAGAAGATGTGTTCCAAGAGAGCACTTATTGCCATCTTCCCAGTCTTGAGCATGTGGACCACAGAAACAGGTGAGAGAAAATCTGAGGTGGAACTGCCCCAAATGTTGCTCATATGGATGTCAGGTCAGCAGAGCCTCTCCTGTCCCGATACACTGCCAGCTAATGCACACACAGCCCCCAAAAGTCCTGTGTTTATAGAATGGGAAGTGGTAGAATGAAAGATCTGCATAGTGCAAGATCATCAGTGACTGCATTAAAAATTGGAGGAGTTTACTGCAGATAGAATTTAATTAGCAGCAGGATTCTACCAAATATTTGCAGCCTGATCTGTGTCTTGCTGGGTGTATTTGCCAGTGCTTTACTGAGCTGGTTAGAGACAGGAGGTTGGTTATTCAATAGATTGCATCTACTTAAATATATTTGCACAGAGTATTGTGCATGAATGCAAGCTCACTCAGACACTTTAATTTCACGCTTGTTGCCACACCATCATTTCCCAAACTGTACTGCTTGCAAAAAACTGAAATCATGGCACCAATCAGCTTTATCCTATCTATGGCACTTCCACTGACTGCAAGCTCTACCTTATGCTGCATATAATTATCTGTGTCAACTTATTACACAGATCAGTGAATGCACTCAGTTATACCATGGAGACCCAATATTGACTCAAAGAATCATGGAATGGCTGGGGTTGGAGGAGACATTTAGAGGTCATCCAGTGCAACTCCCCTGCCATGAGCAGGGACAGCTTCACCTAGATCAGGTGCTCAGAGCCCCATCCAATATGGCCCTGAATGCTTCTCAGGATGGACCCCCATCTCTCTGGAACGCTTTAATTTTTCTTCCCATGGGAAGCTCTGGTAACGGTACAGGAGAAAACTTATTTTTAATAGAATATGATTTGTGAGGGCAGAACACATACAAGAAAAGTCACAAAGCCTGGGAACATGCCTGAGAAATGCTTGGTTGAGACTTGTTTCTCTTACTTTAGACATAAGAAAAATGAATAAGCCAGATCCAGGCTCAAAAACAGAGATGAAAAAGGGAAAAATGCTTTTAGGATGTGATGCACTTTCCCTGTCTTGATTGTCTGTTTTAGCAGATGGTTCTCCCTGTAGCTCTGCCTCCATGGAGTAAACATCAGTGCACACAGCTCAGATGTGGACATGCACATTGTGCACTGACATTTATTCAGATTAATCTGGTTTGTGATGACACAATTTGTCAAGTTGCAGTCTTATTTTTATAAAAAAGTGGGATAATTTCTGATCTATTCAATGGGAGTAAGAGACATTAAACAGTTTTCATCCTGAAGCGCAGAAATGGTATTAGAGTGACAAGAAAATACACAAACATACTCTGGTCTAGCATTCCGGCAGAAATGAAAACAGGGAAGTCCTAAATAAGACATAGAAGATTTTTACAATAAATTCAGCTAGATGGAGGAAAAAAGAAAGCAGGGAATTCATAAAACCAGAAGAAACTCTTTGGGACTCATTTATTCTATACAGCTTTATTGCCTTGCAAAAGTGGACAGTGATCTTGACTCCCAAAATCTCACCTGGTTTCTCCAAGTCATTTAAAAGATAAAAATATTTTTCTCATTTCTGCTCCAGGGAAGAGATAAAGAAGTCTAACACAGCTGGAAAAGCAGTTTGTTGCTACCAGAGTTTATTGCAGTGCCTCTTTCTCTGTGGTGTTGCAGTTCTGATCCCACGTGAACACTCCCACAGCATCACTCCATGATAAACTCTGCCAGATTTACCTTCTGTTCAGTTTGCTCCTTCTAAGTTGTGTATTAAATATTGGCACAGTACTGTAAATGTTTAATTACCAACTGTCATAAAGTACAAATGGCTCCTTTCATCTGTAGTTTTGACAAAAATGATTAATGTAATATTTCCAGAAGATTTTCCTGTAGATCTTGGGGAATAGGAGGGTTAGTTGTAGGTCTTGGCACATTATTTAAAATGACAGCTAAGTACATTATAGAGGAAATAATAGGCACTGATCCATCCCTTCCAATAATTTAGATTTTTTCTGCTTGTAGGGACATATGATCACAATTTCAAACTTATTTTTGGCTGTTTAAACTAAACCTAAATAATGCTGTAATGGAGTGTACTGAGAAGCTGAAGTAGGCTGAATTAAACTCAAAGCATTCTTTTGTTTTCCACATGGATAGGTATCCCAATATTTCTGCTATGAAAAATGTGGCTGCCAGCACAGGAGAAGCTTGGAGGTTTTGGACAGGAACATTTACATTTATATTTTGGTGGGGCTGGAAAGCAAGGAGATATTGAAAGTGTATTAATAAAAAAAGCTACAGATTTAATAGGCTGTCTCTGATAGCCTCACTGCTTTAGCACCTGCCCCAAGAGGAGACCTGGCACAAACCACTGCCCTGCAAGTAATCTCCATTATTTCTTTATATGACCCAGATTTCATCCACAGAGAAGTGAGTCCATCTATGCAGACTCTGATTAAGAAGAAAAGGAAGGAAAGGTGCCCCTGTCAACAATGCTGGGCTGCTCAGACTCTGCCTTCTAGTGCAGCAAAAGGGACAACAACTCCTACCACTTACTGCAGCTGGTCATCAGTCATGCTGGGGACAGCAGGAATTACTTTTTCTTACACATCCATTGCAGTTCAGTCCCTCAGCACATGCTACCAAAATGTCCTGTGATGAATTTTGAATGAGGGATAATGTAAAGCTTTCAGAGATCCTTCTGATATAACACATGTCCTGTGATGATAGACTGGTGTGATTTTTAAAGAGAAGCTTTGTGGTTCTTCTTCTGGAGAGGATAAATCACTGATTTCTTATACACATTTTGCTTCATCATCTCAACGTTCATCAGAGTAGTTACTTTTGTTTATCTGTATTTTAGTGATTGAATCAGCTATGCTCTGGCCAGCAGGGAAAAATGTTTTGGTATTTTTAGCCTTTATTTAGAGATGCAAATGAGCTTCCTATAATCATGTTTGTGAGAAAACACACGCCACAATCAGGACCTCAGTAATGACTGATATTAGCTATGCTCTATACATCAATGAAATTGGCTCAGAGTCACAAGCTCCCTTTTTCGTCCTTTTTAATTGGAAAGGAGCAATGTATCTAATCAATTAAACAATTTTTTTTACAAAATTGCCCAACTGTCCTCGTGAGTCCTTCCAAGGAATCAAAATTATAATATAGGGCAGAAAGCTTTGCTGTTCCGTGTTTGTGGGTTTCTTTAAGTCCATTAAAAACAACAAAGCAGGCATAAAAAAACTACTGTAACTTTCTATATCCATTAAAAGAAACACAACTGAGAACAATCATAAAATGCAAGTCCTTCTAAAATGTATGCCAAGAATACAGAGTTATGTAAAACCAGTGTCCTTTAAATGGAATTAGATTTAGCCACAGACACTTTCATGGGCAAAACTATGTTGGAACTAAAGCTCTTGAGAATTATTTTGTTTCCTACTATCCATTGTTTTGATGTGTGCAATAATACAGCCCTGGAATTTTCCCACAGTGATAACTTTGTACGTGAACAATCCCTCTTGGAAGAGTACTGTACAATTTAATTAGGACTTTTCTACACAGTTTTGTCATGACTATAATATTCTCCAACCTCTGTGCAAAGGTATTGAGGCAATTTTGTTATGTTAATTAGTAATGAGAGAATGCTCTAAGTCTGCTCTAAGTCCTGAGTCCTGTCATAATAAATTCTTTATCCACACACTAAGGTGAGTCAGACACTACTGCAATGAATTTTCAATTTGAACTAGCTTTGTAAGGTATACCTTGAGACTAGGGATAAACTGGAAAAAGTGT